CGAGGATAAGTTGATTGTTGGGTGGTTGAATTTTAAATTTTGAATAGAGGGGCGACAGTACGAGGTGGTCGAAAAGGTTTATCTTCAAGTGAAGAGAGCTCGACCATGGTGATTGAAAAACAGCAAGACGTAAGTTTAAATTTTTAAATTCAAGACTTCGGGGAGTGGTCATTCGATTTTCGACCTCAACGGCGGATCATTTGGATTTTGACCTCAGTGGTCATTCGGCTTTTGGTTTTTGACCTCACTGGCAGGTCGTTCTCGACTTCATTGACAGTCTTTCAGTTTTCGACCCCGATGTCAGGTCATTCGGTTTTCGATCTCATCGGCGATCACTTGGTTTTTGACCCTCGTGGTCATTCAGTTTTCGGCTTTCGACCCCAGTGCCAGGTCACTCAGTTTTCAACCTTAGTGGTCATTTGGCTTTCGGTTTTCGACCTTAATAGCAGGTCCTTCGGTTTTTTACCTCAATAGAAGGTCATTCAATTTTCGACATCAGTGCGATCTCTCGATGCGCATTTGGAGGTTATTCGGGGGTTATTCAGTGGTCTTTCAGTTTTCGGCCTCAGTCGCAGGTCCTTCGATTTTTTATCTCAGTGGAAGGTCATTCGATTTTTGACCTCAATGTTGTCTCTCGATGCTCATTTTGTGGTTGTTCTGTGGTCATTCGACCTTCAGTGTTCGACCCTAGTGGTGGAACACTCAGTTTTCGATCTCAATGGTCATTCGGTGTTCGATCTCAGTGGCAAGTCATTCAGTTTTTAACCTCATTGTTCATTTGGGTCCCCGTGCTGGTTTGATGACTATTTGGTGATCGAGGATTTATTCAAATTACAATCCCAGTGGCAGGTTGATGGAAAGGACCCGAAGATGCAATTCACTCTTAGATCGAGTCATGCCTACTCGACCAGAATTGGGGGGGGGGGACTAGATGATACAAGATATTATACTAGACCGGTTTTAAAGGATAAAAGGAATATATTGGAAAATAAGCTTACACATGGGCTAGGACACATGGAATAATGGTATTGGTCAAGCCCAACTTAGTCCCTATGGTGCACTCCCCCTACAAAAAGGGGTTAATGTATCTCATTAACTCACCTCTCTACATTCATTATTACACTCTCATTTTGCACTTCTGAATTGGAGCGAGTGCTGCTGATTGAAGCATCGGAGGCCCGACGCCAGGACCCCACCCGGCGTTGGGTTCTTGCAGGTATGGAGGCCGTCCGAGTTAAAGGAGCCCGGGGTGAAGTTCATTTCACCATTAATTTTAATTTAAATTAAATATTATTCTAATATAAACTCAAAAAATCTCACGAACGACTAACCGTACTATTTTTTTTTTTAAATTGACCATACAAAACCAAAAAATCTAATCAAACAAAAAAATTTATATCCAAGCATTAAATAGATAACTGAAAAAAAAATGAAAGTTAACAAAATATTTCAACATTTGTTTTTTCGTCATTTTTTAATAAAGTGTATAATAACTATTTTTTTTTTCCCTAAACACCGCCTATCAAACTTGAGCACGAAGGACAAAAGAAAAATCATAAAAGCAGCCTTACGCATATCTTTTTTTTTTTATTTATTTTTTATTTTTCAAATCAACTGAAATTCATTAAACCTCAAAGCATAGAGTACATCCGGATAGTCAATTGACTACAAATATAGGCCATCTAAACCAGATGATTTAGTTTATTTTTTAGTTGGGTTTTTCTATTCTAACATTATTTTTCTTTTTAAACCCCGCCTATTAAACTTGAGCACAAAGGCCAAAAGAAAAATCTTAAAAGCGGCCCTACGCATATCAATATGATTATTTTTTAGTTGGGTTTTCCTATTCCAACATTGCTAGTCGGATTTTAGGCGTTCTTCTGACATGTGCTCTCATCAATAAAGACAAACAAACAAATCATTTTAAATTCGGTAAGGCCATTGTTTGTTACACAATGTAGTGTTGAATTACAACGGGAACCTATGAACTGACTGAAGTGTTCAGTTCTTACAATTTGAACTACAATAGAAACGAAAAATTACAAAAGAGAAAGCGAAAATAGCCGAGGCGATTGCTCTTTCCGCAAGACGAAAACGCCCCGTATAGTGCTGACGGGTACATGCGTCTCGTCCCCAAAGATACAACGGCTTACGTCTCGAACGCTGTAGCACACCAGAATTCGAGCTCCGACGAACTGGAATGAAGTCGAGAACAGAGCAGTATGATATGATGCGTGAGGCTTTGAGAATAATCAGAGTGCATGAAATGTTGTGTATTTTCCTCTGCAGCTCTATGTCCTATTTATAGGACTTCCACATCTTAAGGGAAACCAACAGTTACATCTGCCACTTAAGGCAGAGATAATGAGCCAAAAAGTTTCTGGTGTTGCTACACCATTAACCAGGTGTTACTACACCATTAACTAGGTGTTAAGACCATTAACAAGCCATTAACATTCCACCTGATCAACAGTCAGGTGTCCAGGTTCATTGTACATGGAGAGGTCTCACTCAGGTTGGGTCAAAAACCGAGTCTAAATCCAACTAGAATTGGATTTTTCAGTTGGGCCTAAAGTTGCAAATAAATTTGCAGCAAAAAGATATATAGTGATTTGGCCCAAGGACCAAGGACCAAGGACCAAGCCCGAGCCCGAGCCGGCCAACCGGCGGGCGCGCGCGCGTGTGGCCGAAAACAACACCAACACTTGGTGCATAGCTTTGTGCTTGTTGTAACCTCTCCAGCTCTCTTTATTATAATAAAGAGAGTTAAACTCATTTAAGAGTCCAATGTGGGAGTGACTCTTGACCATTCAAATCCCACAACCAACGTTTTACGTGCTCTTTTATGACTAACTTTAACAATTTATTTCTCACTCAGCGAAAATCAGTTTTGAGAAAATAAACATACCACGAGTATCTACTCGGAACGTAGAATTTTTCTACAATATTTAATTCAACTCAAATTAAATATTTAACCATAAAAAAATTCAGTCAAACCCGGGTCAAACCCAAGTTTTACAACTGATTTTTCCAACATTGTTGTTAGACATGTTTATAATTACTGGATTTTATTTTTATCATAAATATGCATGATTTTAAGCTAAAATTATTTACTCATTATATATTTATATATATGTGTGTGTGTGTATAAGCATACATATACAACGTAAATATGGATATCCAAAAAAAAAAAAAAGGCACGACAAACCGATCCCAAATGTTTAAGCCAATTTATACAAGAATTTGTGTCGAAATATGTATGAGATGGTAATTAAGATAGTATTTTATTCATTGCAATAGTATGGACGAAAAA